TAGGTTATAAAGACACAATAAAAAAAAACTTAGGGAAAAACAAAAACTCAATCGAAACTATATGCATCTTTCTCTGAATACTAAGACATATTTTATTACATAAACTATTGCAATTTCTGCGGTCGACATAATTTTTTTTATCTTATCTTCTTTGATAATGGGTGTGATAGTATACTGATTTCCGCAGAGATGCGTTCCTTACTACATAATAGTTTGTACAAGTTACGAAACAATTAAGAAAAAAAAAACAAAAATCTCGACTTAACCTCTAACATACATCGTATGTTATTAGACCAAAATCTCTGTTTATAATAAAGTTACCTCTGATCTTTTACCAAAGGTAGTGACAGGGATGATGATGTGTTACTTTGGTGTTAGAAACCCACGGTCAGCGCAAGGGTATGAATCAAAAGACACTGTACACGTCAAAATCGGTTCAGAAGTTTAAACTACAGGGTGTCACAATCTATATATATAAAAGAAAGTCGTGTTAGTTACACTATTTATAACTGAAGAACGGGTTTACCGATGTGGCTCAAAATTGTCGAGGAAGTAGCTTAGAGCCAGGAGACGGACATAGGATACTATTTATTCATTTTTTTTCGAATTTATGCCTTGAAAAGCTACTTTTTATTTAACTTACTAATATTGTAAATGCGAATGTTTAGATGGATGTGATGTGGATGGATGGATGGGCTACACTAATTCAGTTTTTTATATATCCACGCGTACCGAGTCGCGGGCAACAGCTAGTTCAATGTACGTAAAACCTTGTCGACTCAAAATGCGTAGATTTAATTATTTTAATTTTCAACGATAGTAGCTGGCAAGAAAAAATCAATTAGAGTTTCTTAAATAATGACAAAATGACGCTCAAAAAGAAATAATACAATCTGCTTATAACCAGATTGAACTAGATCTTTCGCAGGACACGATGACGTAATGCTTGATACCGAGACGATTGTCGTTGCATTTCTTAATCTTATATCATAAATTAAAATTAATAAGGTCTAGACTTAGAGTTATTTACACTTGTTTAAAGTCATATAGTCTTCTCTGTCACGGTATTAGTTAATTGGAAATATCATTTAATATAGAAACGAGGAATCTTTTTCTATACAAAAAAAGACATTTTATTTACTATTCTTTTGTTATTATTCTAATAACCTATTCGTATACAGTTTGTAAACAAGCTTATTGTGTTTTTCGACCGATCCTGAAAGGGTTCCCGTTAAATGGTTATTAGGACCGCTGACAGAAGGAAATGTGACCCGAGCATTTAAGCTTCGAATGATTTCGGTTACAATTTTTTTTAAATAAAATATTATAAGGAAAATTAACGTTAATTAAAATGATAATGATTCTAATAAGGCGTTCAATTACTTGGCCATTAATTTTAACGCGAGGTAAGAAAAAATTCCGTATTCCGTGCGCAATAAAAAAAAACTTTATAAGTAGCCTATGTGCTCTTCAAGACTATGTTCTACATCTGTATCATATTTCATCAAGATCCGTGGAGCCTTTTTCCGAGGAGTTGTTCCGGATATAACTTCAAACATCCATCCATCCATCCAAACATTTATAATATTAGTAAGAAGTAAGATAAGCATAATGACTAATTGTAATATAATTCGAGAATCATATTTCAAAAGCCGTTGCCTGTTTTTTTCATATAAACTAAAAATGCTCGTATTTCAAACTATGACAGCTTAGTTTAAAAAAAACTTACAAAAAATGCCCCATTTTTTACATCGCAATAAATGTGCCTGCATCTGGTGTATTGTTGGTGACGTCACTCGCGGAAATAGGAAAATGAATGCGCCAATCCATCAAACCAATTCAACTCCGAAACTAATAAAAAATATTTCGACGCTAAATTATTATATGACGTATAGGTTTTTAACTTTCAAACTCAGTCTTATCATTCATCGCATCAAATTCATGATCTTAATCAGAAGCGTTCTTTTAAAAATCAAAATATAAAGTCTACTTCTGGATATCTTCCTAATTCTTCAGATGTATGGATGTTTGTTGAAAGTCATCTGCACAACGGTTGAACGGATGTCGATGAAATTCGGCATAGATGTAGAACAAAGTCTGGAAGATCAAGTCATAGGCGACAAATCAAGTTATTTTTTAGTACCGCCCGTATTGACTCAAGACCTGGACGTAAGTAGAGAACTTAATCAAAGCATATCCATGCTTCAGCATATTCATTTAGGAGTTCTATCTCATGAATAGTCATCCGACTATTCATTAGATAGAACTCCTAAATACTTAGATTTATTTTCCACTAATGCGACTAGCCGCGCGACTCCTATTTGTATGAATACAAGAATTGCTTTGCGCCAGCGCGTATAACGCGCGAACTGAGTCACATGGAATCGCCTAGTGGAAAAGGGATCTTACGTCTTTGGACTTAAAATATAACACCCTGTGAGCTTAAAATAACTTAACCATAATAATAAGAGCTTAAAACGAAATCATTAGTTTATGAGCATTGGATAGCGCCATCTATTAGAAAAAATAATTACAAATTTAAATTTTCAGTGTGTAGAGATTTGGTCTAACTATACATTATATATTTACTAATAATGTTTCCACTGCAGATACTTGGACAAAAACATATAGCTATCCCTGTCTTACAAGGTGAATAAAAGGAATGAGATTTTTTTTGTCCATGCGGTGGAAAGTTATTAATACTTTTTAAATCAAAGATTTAAGTTTTTTACTCAACAAGAGTATATTATATTATTGCAAGTTTTGAATAGCACATGTGGAAAATTATATAAATGTAAAGAGACAATAGAATAAAAGAGCCAAAATTAGAATCACAAAGTGGAGCAATGTCCCTAGCCGAGGGTCAATCACAGCTGTGAAGCCTCAACCGATAATGATGATGATAAATTAATTTATATATTTTTATTAAAATTAAATTAGTGTTAAATACATGACTTAGAATGAAATATGAATCACTTGTTCTTAAAGTTTTAAAATTATTTTAATGCAAAAAATATTATTTTCAATATTAAAAGTACCACTTTATAACTATTATTTTTTATTTTTCAATGTAACAACTTTTGTTTCATTTCTTGTTTAAGTGTGCATGAATAGTACTTTTAATTGTAAATTAAGGCATGGAATATAAGTGTTTTAAAAGTATAATTGTTTTAAAACCTTTTATATTTTTCTTTTATTAAATTAATTAAATAAATTGGGCCGAAATAGTGTCTTAGGCCAAATATATCAAATAATACAGTGATTCAGCCGAGTTATCATGCGGCTTGCGCGGAAACCGCACTCATTTACATCGTAAACAAATAGCCTATTTTTAATTTCCTCATAAACCATTGTACGAACTCGTAAGATGCGAGCAAAACTACAATTACATACTTACCATATAAAATCCTTGCAGTGAGAGCAGAACGTCGGCTGCTTGAAGAACCTCGGCATAAATTTATGATCTTTTACGAGGTAAACATTCTTCTTTTTCAGGGCACCTTTGCGGCCCCGCAAACGAAGACCCTCGCCCGCCTTATAATCACCAGCACTATCCTCACAATTATTTTCGTCGTCCGCCATGGCGACCGCGCGAAATTAAAGCGCCAAAGAATCGGAAGCAATTAATGTTTTAACAATACGTTAGACTTCGCGACCCGCACGGCAGCCACCGTTCTCAACGAAACGTCATTGCGCTTTGACAGATTTCAACTGATGAATCTGCCCGTCCCGGCCCGACCCGACCCCGAGCAGCCCGGTTCCCAGCGCAGGGTTGCCAGATGCGTGCCTTGAGTTTAGCCAAATCTACCTACAATTCCCGCCACAATTCCGGTTTAAAAATGTTAGATGCAACAATAAAAATGATTTTTGTAAGTGAAAAAAACTAAGGTAATGATTGTTCTGCAAAACAATCACAACGAAGCATTCCGTTTAAAGTTACCTAAAAGCAAAAATATAAAGATTTATTAGATTTTGTACGTCAAACCACACATATGTTAGGGTAGGTTAAAACGATGATGATTATCTAAAAAATCTTTTGTTAACCAATTATTATTCCCCTTAAATTTTCCTAATTTCCACCGCGAGTTTGGATTATAGATACTACCGTAATTAGGGGAAATTTCCCAAATTCTGGCATTAACATCCGAAGCTGCACTAAATGTCATTGTCATGTCAACGGTCCCACGAGTTTCGTTCTAAAATTTTATTTATTATCATTTATTTGTTGTTTAAATTGAAACACATTAATTAAATTAACTTGTAAATTAATTACACATAATTAAAAATGCCTTTTTAAAGTGCCGACTTGTAAATTAAATTAAATAAACACCTAAACCGTGCTCAAATGGAATAGATAAGTAGTTCCATAGTCTATGGTTGTGTTTAACGAACGAAATTAAACC